ACGGTTGTTTATCCCTGCAGATGTCCACACTGAAGGTGGGTTTATGATCGGACTTCATCACTGACACTCCACAACGCACACACACACATCCCAGCTTTCTCTGATGGATGCAGCACAGCCATGACCCTCGCAGCGATTCAAATCATCGCTGCCGTAGCTTCAACATTCACCTTCACCCATGTTGCCATAGTTACAGTTGAGCGCAGCAGCTGCAGAGTCTCACACACACAGTGACACGTACAGACACACGCAACTAAACTGTAATATTTAAAACTTATGACAGTGAAAGTTCCTGTTGGTCTAAACAAATAGGAAGTCAAATGTGTCGCAGACAGGAAGTTGTCCACATTCATTTTATTGTATTTAACATGTAATTCTATCAGGAACGTCTAAAAGTACCTTGTAGTTCCCACAGTAGCAAAAAGGTCTAACCGTACCAGAATTATTTTCCAGTGGCAGGAAGACCTAACGTACTGTACTGGGTACTGTATGACTGGACCAGGAACCTTAGGTTAAAGAATCATTTTATTGTAAGATACAGTACCAGGATGATTAAAACTATTGGAATAGTTGGCTTGATTTACTTTTAACTATTTTTTTTTCTCCATTTGTCTGTCTTGGTTTTTCTGTAACGTAGTTTAACCTTGCTCATGCAGAGATGGAAGTCTTGAGTCCAGTCCAGGTTTTCCTGTCTCCAGGATCTCTGTTGGGAACCATTCAGTCCAAGTCCAGTGTTGGTGATGGGAGCTCAGGATTGATGGTGGAAGTTGGGCCTGTGTCCAGTGTTTAATAAAAACTCATTCCATCCTGCTGTAATGGGCTGAGACACTAAATGTTCACACTGGGATCAATACAGTTAAACATGCAAACACACATACACACACACACACAAACATGCTGTAGACTATTTGCTCCATAATAAAGGCTAATGGAACGGAGTTTTCTCCTGAGACGTTGTAACTCTGCTCTTGTTCACACTAACAGAGAAAAACGTTTTAACTAATGTTTTCATCACTGAAAACATTTCATGTTGAAAATATCTGACTATTAATGTGCTTACTCGGCAGAAAAATACTAATCATCAGGTATTTATTTTACTTTTAGGGCCTTTAGCAATGATCTTGATTAAAAAAAACCTGACTAGCCTGTTTCAGTTAGCTCGGCTAATGTTTCGTTTATTGCTTAGTTAGAATCGCCAAATGTAAGCTTTAGCTGTTTTAACCAATTTCAAAAATATTTTTACCTCGTTTTACTAACAGAAAATAAATTGCTTTTTTAAGCAAACTTTTTGTCTGCTCTGCACGCAATTCATTTTGGGTCACTGAGGTAATCACAAAATAAAACATTCAAACTTAGTGATAGAAGCAGCAGTGAAGTAAAACTGCAGCGTTCCATGGACTTATGGTGTGTGAGAGAGACTGATGAGGTTTTTTACATTAAGATTAAAACGTGAAACAGACTGATAAAGTCCAGCTGGTGCAGAATTTATATTCCCATTAGGATCACGGCACTTCCTTTACTTTGACACCACAGTCCATAGGGAAAATCAGAAACAAAGATGAAAAGCCTTGATTGAAGAACAAAGGTGTGTTTCTGTTCTCAGGACACACTCTTAAATTCTCCTTCCTTTAAATCAGTGAAGAAGGAAAACTCTAAATGTCTTTGGGTTTGTGACACTGCTGCTCTGAACCTAGGTTTAGCCCTGGCTGCTGCAGCAGTCCACTCTAATCTACCTCAGAGAAAGAAAGAGGCGACGCCTCCCTGTCCTGGTTTCTGGCCTGTTGCATCACATTGCGTCTCATTCTTCTCTATCTAAGTCTCTGCTCCTAACAAAGCAGCGACCACTTGTCAGGGTTGCTTTTCAAGGGTCTGAGCAGGACAGGCTATGACAGAGAATAACGTTGCTCTAAAGCATCACTTTAGTCAAGTCAAAAAGTTTTTTGTTTTTTTTAAAGAAAGTTTGACTGATTCTGAAACCTGTTTTAAACCAGTCTGTATGTTAGCATTAGGTCACTCGACTTTTTGTTCTTTCTTACACATACTGTACTTCAGCACCTCTGTTCATCTTTCAGCAGCACTTCTACTCTTTCCTCATACATTCTCCCCCATGCTAACTCCTGACTATGTTTGTGGGGTGAGATTATTCTAGTATTACACAATTTTGTGCCAAATGTTTTCCTTTTTTATGACATAATATAGGTATATTGGATCTCAGGTCAAATTCTTGCTTAAGGTTTTCAAATTGTTCTTAACTTCTGTCTTATTTGTCTCTTTGCTGTATTTTGCTTATATTACACTGACCATTATCTTTATTGCAGCAAATGTGTAGCTATTGCATAATAAGACAAGTGGGCTCTGCCTGTTGCTAAAATGGGCTAACCTTTGGCAAACAATGTAAAGTAAAGCTGCAGCTCAGAGTTGAACAAGCTGCTCTCTGTTGAAAAAAACAATATAAAAGTCAGCATTAAAACCAACACCGGTGACTCATAAAAAAGCTGTAATGAAGCTTCACGTGCTGCAGTTTATGAAGCAGCAGCAGACACTGAAGGTTTCCTCTCTCCAGGGTTTATTTCAAACACTTTAATATCTATTACATTTCTTTAATTCTCGCTCAAAGGCTCCTTAAAAACTAAAATTTAATTCAGCACAAATGAATATTCCTAATTCTTTGTCTCATAAAAAGCTCCTCCAGGAAAAACACCCCCATCCATTTATTTGACCTTTTGTTAATCCGTGCCTCGTAATAATGATTATTATCATTTTATCTCTGATCTCCTGCAGCACACGGGGCAGGGGATTCAGAGATTGGTTTGTTTGTATCAACAGTATAGAGACACAGTGTCAGATCTGACAAAAAGGTCCAGGTCAAATGTCCAGAAAATCTCTTAATAATGGTTAGCCACATAAGAGGGTTTTACCTGGTATAGAAAGAAGTGGAAAGAAATTCATAGACAGAGTTAACCAAATTAGAATACGTGATCTTGAACAACCAAAAACAAAACCAACATTAACAACAGTTCTTGGGTGCCAAAAGCAAAATTCTGGCCAAAATGAGAAAAAGAAGTGTAGTGTTAGCCAAATATAAAATTGGATTAGAAGTGTTTAAAAACATGTCTATGCAGATTCTCAGGCATGATCATGGTCAAGGTTGAAGAGTTCTGTTAGGCAACTGGATGTGAAATTTTCTCAAAGACGACGTTTCACCTCTTCAGTTCTAACTGGTGGAGGGGAGTACAGCAGAATATATGATGTTTAAAACACACACAAGAAATAACACAAAAGATCAACCTATTCAACTACCACAACCATCACTAGAGATACTGTAGCAAAACTTTAGCTCAAAGGTAACCTGAAGCTACCTAAACAAACATCTCACTAAAGTACACGTAATGAAATATAAAGAAATTCTAGTTTTAATTTAATTACAATTTACTAAAATCTGGACCTGTTCAGTGATGACAATGTTGATAAACTGGCAGGAATTGAGGAAGCAAGCACATTTAAAATTCCAGCTATCAACAGGCGAGTGTGGGGTACCTGGAAGGTTAGCTAAAACTTTAGCTAAAGAAACACCTGGTTTCTGGCTACAAAAAAAAAAAATAGCTTCAGGTTTCTAATCAACTCTGATAAAATATGAATGTGTCTCAACTTCCCAAAGCTCTTGGTATATCTTCTTCAGAGGTTAGTGTTAGCAATACAGACATACGTACAGACATGTATTTGGTTGTACATCGTAAAGGGAGCACCAGCTGTGTGTTCTTAACCCTTAGACTCCGTCCCAGCTAATTTCTGTCTCATTTTCCTCTAAAAAATAACTACAAAGAACACAGAGACAGGTTAGAATCACTGTGGACAGTGAACCCAGGATAAACAGGTCCAGTAAATGTGGCGCTAAAGGTGTGCAGGTGGATCAGTGAGTCCGACGAAACTCTGTAGAAAGACAGAGTCCCAGCAGGACAGTCAACATACACCGAGACTCTATTGGAGACAGAGGGCGAGCTAAGAGTAAACATTTCACTGTTGTGAGTTACAGAGTATCCGTCGTGCTTAGAGTATGACAATCTCCAGGACTGTTCATTTCCAAACTGCACTGCAGTCCTTTTAATTCCTTTGTAACTCAATGCTATGGAAACATTTCCATTAAACTCCACCTCCCAGTAACAGCGACCAGTCACAGCAGATTTACACAGCAGTTGGCTCCCCGTTTGAAACCTGTCAGGATGATCATCATAACGTTGCATCTTTGAAAAGTCTGTATAGTAGCTGACAGTCCTGTTGTTGTCAGACAGTACGAGGCATCGGTTCACCGTGTTCACATCCACTTCAAGTTCACACAAATCTGAAACAAACAAAGGCAGCTTGGTGATTGGTTGGTGACTGAAACATTGTCATATCGTGTTCCTGTCAATCACTAAACACACTATCCTGAGGTGCTGGAAGTCATGTAGGTAACTAGACCTGTGTTAGTTTCATTTCCAACCCACAGCTGGAAAACTACCAACATTTTGTCTCACTTTGTGTCCTTCAGCCTTTTTAGACACTTGTGATGTGTCAACCTCCCTGTTCCTCTTTAACTGTAGCTAATACCTGTTAAATGTGAGCCTCCTTATTTTTAGGATCAGTTGATCTCCTGTCAACCACTCCCATATTTTTCCACGTGTAGCAGTGACTTACAGATGGAGTTGGAGTTTTGATGATTTTCATGCTGAAAACAATGCTGTCATGCATGGAGAGGCTGATTCTTCACACTTCACACCTGGCTGCGAACAGACCTAGTGCAAGTTATACTGTACAGCCATGTAGAATCTACCCACAAATCGTGACCAAAGCTTGTCCTGAGATTCCCTGATGGGTGTGGTTCATGGAAGCCCCCATTGATGACGATCTGATGAGTAACACCCCTAGGCAGCCTGGCTGCAATGCCTCTTTTGTACAAGGGGAGGTGCAGTCATTACGTTTTGCTGTGTGTTTTCATCAGTGTAAGCTGGTCAACATACAGTACTTTATATAAAATATAAAATACCCGTCTCATCACACTGCTCACACTCCTTGCCTTGATCCCTCCCGTGTGTCTGCGATAAAATAACTGCCATCAAGCCTGCAGAAACCATCCCAACATGTCTGTCTGTCTCCTACCTCATTTCCCCCCACTCTTGAACACATTTAAGCAGTAAATGCCCTTCTTGAGCTAAAATGAGCAATCAATTCATTTAACTGTTTCATTGCATCATTTTGATGGGATTTGACTTTAACATCAGGGTCAATATTTACCGGTAACCCGATTAACAGCTGGCTAAAAACAGCCCCAGGGCAAGCAGGAAGTCAAAGCCAACCTGATTAACAGCTGGCTAAAAACAACCCCAGGGCAAGCAGGAAGTCAAAGCCATGATGTCAGTAAGACATTAAACCAAAAAACCACCAAAAATAAAAATGAATGTAATGAAAAGAATTGACAGCACATGACTTATGTGATGTGTTAAAAGCTGTTGTTCCAGTCAGCCATTCAGTTCAGGACTGAAGACCTAGTCTACCTACGCAAGTTCTTCAGAAGAATCGACAGCAACTGTAAGGTGGTGCTATAGGTGGTCTGGATGATGGTTAACCTTTGCAAACAAGGATCACATACAGTAAGAACTACACTTACACTTCCTGAGACCAGGTCTAATTCTCTGGGCTCCACAATGGTCCAACCTGGGGAAAGGAAAAAATATGAATCATTTTTTGACCAACATACTTTAACACAAAGTTCTTGGGCATGAGGCTTAGATGAAGGAGGACCTCACCTGACTGTTTCCAGTTTCCAGGTGGAATTTTTCAGTCCACCAATCAGCATGTTCCTCCCTAATCCACCTGGATGGTTGTAGCTCAGGTCCAGCTCTCTCAAATGGGATGGGTTGGAGCTCAGAGCTGAAGCCAGAGAAGCACAGCCTTTCTCTGTAACAAGGCAACCTGCCAAACTGGAAGTAAATTGATTAGATTTGATTTGAATTTGGTAGAACAGATATTCCATTATGAGAACCTCAAGTAGGAGTATATTAAACAATATTGTTCCATGCCTTAAAGTCTCAAGGGAACAGTGAGAACTTTTGAGCCCATGAGAAAGCTGCGTGACTCCTGAATCCTGCAGGTCATTGTTGCTGAGGTCCAGGTGTCTTAGCTGCGAGGATGGGCATCTTAGGACTGATGACAGAGCTTCACAGCTTCTCCCTGAGAGCTCACAGCCACTTAGGCTGAGGAAAACATCCCCACATATTTTACAATTTAAGAAGAGAGGAGAAAAGAGAAGTTAGACCAACTGTAGAACAAAGGTCACAAAGCTCCTCGGTTTTACTGACCAGAAATACTGACCATAAAGTCTCTAGGGAACTGCAAGGACTCTTAAGTCCAACAGACAGCTCCTTTACTTCTGAATCCTGTAAGTCATTGTTACTGAGATCCAGGTGTCTCAGTGCAGAGGACCGGGAGCTGAAGACTGAGGACAGAACTTCAGAGCTTCTCTCTGACAGTCCACATCCACTCAACCTGTGTAAGATAAGAAGTTCTTTAATCGCACCACAGTGGGGAAACTCACACATTTTAAAAGATCCACAAAAGACAAATCTCATCCTCAAAATTCATACCCAAACCTTTTATTGTCAGGATTTACCTGAGGATCTCCAAAGAGGAGTGAGGGCTCCTGAGTCCACCAGAGAGATGTTCAACTCCCAAATCCTGCAGGTCATTGTTACTTACGTCCAGATTTCTGAGCCTAGAGGACTGACAGCCGAGGACTGAGGACAGAGTTTGACAGCTGTGATCTGAGAGGAGACAGCTTCTCAACCTGAAGCCACAGGCAAAAAAAACAAAAAAAAACCCCACTGCGTTTACATACTTTTTTAAAGGTTCACAATGGTAGATAAGAGAAAATACAATACATGAAAGATTAAATAACGGGTTAAATCCCAGAGAGACAGTGGTACTGTTACAAAGAGAAGGTCTTAAAAGTAAAATGGAGGTATTTTAAAGGTCAAAAGTGTAAGTCCTGACCTGAGGGTCTCCATAGAAGAATCTGGAATGACTAGTCCTTCACAGAGTTGCTTCACTCCTGAGTATTCCAGCTTATTGTAGCTCAGGTCCAGTTCTGTTAATTTCGATGGTCTGACACTCAAAACTGAAGCCAGAGATCCACAGCTTTTCTCTGTGAACATACACCCTGCAAGGCTGCAGTTAAGGGAAAAATGTGAACTCAATAACATGTACATCATCTGCACCAACAAAGAAGAAAAAGTGGGAAACATGTCTAATGTCTGACCTCAGGGTCTCCAGTAAACAGTGAGGACTTTTAAGTCCATGTGACAACTTCGTTATTCCAGAATCTCTGAAAAGGTTGTAACTCAAGTCTAGTTGTTTCAGACTACAGGACTGAGAGGTGAACACCGTTGACAGAATGTCGCAACTTGTCTCAGATAGCTTGCAAGACGTCAGACTAAAGGAGAGATTTGTCCACATGTCATGAAATTATCTTGAAAAAGCAAATGAAATGCACAACATGAGTAAACTTTATGTTGCTCTGATGCACAACTTTAATCCTGACCTGAGTCTCGTCAGTGAGCACTGAGAATACTTTAGCCCAGCTGCTAACTGTTTCACTCCTGAATCCAGCAGGTCATTGTCGCTCAGATCCAAGTGTCGCAGACTTGAGGACTTGTAGTTGAGGACAGATGAGAGAGCTGCACAGCTTCTCTCTGAGAGCTCACAGCCTTTTAACCTTCAAACAGAAAAAAGGAGAATGTGGTTATGTAGTGTAGAGTCCTTGGACCTTGGTGTTGATCCCTTGAAATTGGTGGTGTTGACCCTTAAAGGTCTTGATCTTGTTTTTGTTTTGTTTCAGTAAATCTGTGTTTTTCTCAGTGTCCTGTCGCAGAACCAACAGTCCTACTCATGTTTTCATCTTGCACCAAAAAAGTCCTGTGTTTTAATAACCTACAATCACTTTAAGTTTTTATCTCAAAAAACACTTTTTTTTTTACTGTAGCCCTTGTTTCACAAAATCTTGGTGATATTGTAACCCTACCATCTAAAGACTAGGACGTGAGCATGACTCTCGTGTCCTAGTCCACAGAAGTTCTTTTCTACCTTATCAATCTTATTTCTGGTCTCAGACGTTCTTATTCTTGGTCCAGTTATATCATGATATTACTCCAGTTCTGTTGCCTGAAACATCGCAGTATAGTTTCCTAAAATATACTTAATATGTTTTATTAAGCCTTAGAGGTAAAACGTATACTATATACACAATACCTGAGCGTTTGCAGAGAACATTCAGGTTTTTTCAGTTCAGTTGAGAGCTGCTTCACTCCCAAGTCTCCTGGACGGTTGTAGCTCAGGTCCAGCTCTTTCAAATGGCAGGAGTCCAAGCTTAGAGCTGAGGCTAGAGAACCACAGCCATTTTCTGTGACAAGACAACCTGCCAGGCTGGAGTAGAGAAGATATGTTGGACAAAGGGATTCACCAATACTGCAGGATTTATAGGGTCACAAATAAGGAGAACCAATGATACAAAACATCACCAGTTCTTACCTGAGAGTCTCCACAGAACATTGAGGACTCTTGAGTCCACCTGACAGTGCTTCTACTCCTACATCCTCTAACTCGTTGTTGCCGAGATCCACGTGTTTCACATTAGAAGACTGGGAATGAAGGAGTGACGAAAGAGCCTCACAGCTTTTCTTGGAGAGTTTACAATCGTTCAACCTACAGCAGGGGAGAGACAGTGATGGACATGTTAATCTGGGTTAACTTTACTTTAAATGTCTTTGTGTTATGATACTGATCCACCTACAGAACTTTGTTAGAGGCTTTGACCACCGGCAGCAGCCTGAGAAATGTCTCCTCTGACGCAGAGTATTTTTTCAGGTCAAACTGATTAAGATCCTTGTCCGAGGACAGAAGTAGGAAGACCAGTGCACCCCATTGAGCGGGGGACAGTTTCTTTGTGGACAGGGGTCCTGAGCTCAGGGACTGTTGGATCTCCTCCACCAGAGAATGATGGTTGAGTTCATTCAGACAGTGGAACAGATTGATGCTTCTTTCTGCAGACATGTTGTCATCAATCTTCTTCCTGATGTACTTGGCTGTTTTCAGTATTACCTCTGAGTGACTTTCAGTTTCTTCCAGCAGCCATCGAATGTGGTGCTGGTTAGTCTCTACTGACAGACCTAGGAGGAAGCGAAGGAACAAGTCCAGGTGTCCTTTTGGATTCAACAAGGCCTTGTCAATAGCACACTGGTGCAGATTATTCAGTTTGGGTTTGTCTTTAAAAAGTTTGGACTTCCAAGAAGCTGATGATTCTTTACTTTGGTCCAACTGTTTTGGTTTGAGTTTGTTTTTAAGCTTAGACATCCATGTTGATGTTGACTGTTCATCTGACAGCAGATTGACTCCAGAGGTGATGAAGGCCAAATGCACATGAAGAGCAGCCAGAAACTCTTGAACACTTAGGTGAACAAAGCAGAAAACTGTTTCCTTGTACATGCCTTTAACTTTTTTGAAGGTCTCGGTGAAGACTCCTGAGTACGTTGCAGCTTCTCTGAGATCAATGCCAGAGTCACTCAGGTCTGCCTCATAGAAGATTGGGTTTTCTTTCTGCAGCTGCTTAAATGCCAGTTTAGCAAGTGCCTCAATCATACCTTTACTTTCTTTCTGGTTCACATTCGTCTCTGATGGTTGATCCTGATACTTGACACTCTTCAGTTTGGATTGAATCACCAAGAAGTGGATGTACATCTCAGTCAAAGTGTTGGGCAGCTTTTCTACCTCACAAGTTTTCAGCATGTCCTCCAGAACCTTAGCAGTGATCCAACAGAAGACTGGGATGTGGCACATGATGTGGAGGCTTCGTGACGCCTGGATGTGGGAGATGATGCTCCTGGCCTCATCTGGATCTCTGAACATCTTTTTGAAGTAATCTTCCTTTTGTGGATCAGTGAACCCTCTGACTTCTGTCACCATGTCCACACAGTCAGGAGGGATGATACTAGCTGCTGCAGGTCTGGTGGTTATCCAGATGTGAGCAGAAGGCAGCAGTTTACCTCTGATGAGGTTTGTCAGCAGCACATGAACCGGCGTGGACGCCGTAATGTCCGTCACTATCTCTGTCTTCTGAAAGTTCAGAGGTAAACGGCACTCATCCAGTCCGTCAAAGATGAACACAAGCTCAAAATCTTCAAATGTGCTGATTCCTGCTTCTTCAATTTCAGTAAAGAAGTGATGAACGAGTTTTACTAAACTGTACTTTTGCTCTTTCAGCATGTTCAGCTCTCTGAAGGTGAACAGAAAAGTGAACTCTATGTCTCTGTTGGTTTTGTCTTCAGCCCAGTCCAGAGTGAACTTCTGTGTGAGGACTGTTTTCCCAATGCCTGCCACTCCCTTTGTCACCACTGTCCTCGGTTTGTCTCTCAAAGGCAAGGCTTTGAAGATGTCCTCACACTTGAGAGTTGTTTCTTCCATTCCCGATTTCCAAGATGCAATTTCAATCTGTCTGACTTCATGTTCTGTGTTGACCTCTCCAGTTTCTCCTGCCATGATGTAGAGTTCAGTGTAGGTCTCATTCAGAGGAGATGAGTTGATTACCTCATCCACATTAGAAACTCTCTTCCTCAGTGTGGATTTTAGTTTTTTCTGACACTCAGCAAGAACTTCTAAAGAAATGTAACAAGAAGAAACCACAGTAAGAACCAATAAGATACTATAGTCTGAGCCGTCCACCACCTTCTCTAGCAGGAACGGTTTGGTCAAACCTCTCCTGCTGTTCAGCTGAGACCCATTACAAGTACATAATATGAAAATAGCATAAATAAATGTACATAAAGTGGCAGAGCATGTGAAGGAACCTACCTTTAGACACTGACGGCGTCTTCTTTTTCATCTTCTCCAAAATCAAATTGGCAACTTTAATAGCATCTTCACAATAGGTCTGTACCATGCGATCCACGGTGTCCTCTCGACTTGCATTCTCCAAGCAATAGACTGGAATTGCGGAGAAGTCTCCCAGTGCCCCACGCCTCTGCAGGTACCATTTAAAGGTTTTGAAGTTCTTACTTTCCAGGTTTTGTAAAATTCCCAGGAGCTGCTCTTGAGGTGTGGACATCTTTTCTGACGAGCACAATACAACAGACCTTCTGGATGAAGAAATGATGACTATTATAGTTCTAGGGTTTTAATCATAATAACAATAACAACAACAACAATAATAATGTGTTTAAAATTAAATACAAATAAATGCTTTAATGTAGCTGTGGCAATTGGGAGACATTGTGCATTGATTTGTTAATTTGTTACTTTTTTGTTGGAAATAAAGAAAGTGTGTAGTAAGTTTAAACAAGACCTAATATTAGGAATATTGTTTACTACTGTATCTGCAATTATTCATATCCCAAGAACAATTGCTGGGATTTATAAACTTTACCAGGAACTATCTGCATTTACCAGCACATGTCAGTCTGTGGGTGTAGTGAAAAGTTCTTTTATGGTCTGGTTTGTGTGGGAAGTTAATGATGTCAGGTTCAAGGTTCAGCCCTGTAGAAGACTCAGGGATAAGGTCCAGGAAAGGAAGAGAAAATTAAACGTAGACCATGAACACCACATTATAAACCTCCTGTTACAAATACACTAACACAATGACTGAGCTGGCATGAAAAGAAAATGTTAAACCTGTGTTACAGAAATATGTCCGACCCTAGTTTTTACAAATAGATATGAACGTAAACTCTTACCTGATTTGATGGCGTGGAGAGTGAAGCCTTTGTCAGGGTGAGGAGACTCTAACTGTAAACCAGGGTTAAACATTGACGGTGGAAACACACCCTCAGCTCAGACACCAGCTACTGTCCAACCCTCCACCTCAAAAAGAAACCAGAGTTTGTTTTTATAACTTTGTTGGGAAATGCCATCTTTACGGATAGCTTAGTAAAAACCTACCAGAATACGGCCCAGTCGCCATTTTGGAGGGTGAACCGCATGTTACACATGTCAAAATACAGAATATAAAGTTTTTGTTTTGCATTGTCTCATGTTTTGTTATATGGACTTATTTAAAATATTTTAATCATTGTCTTTTGATAAACCCAGATATATTCTATGCTTAATCAGATTAAAAACCTGAGTGAGACGAAATCGGTTGTAGCGCAAGACAAGACTTCACGTTTATTGAAAAGGGCATACAAATTGCATAAAACAATCCTCGGCTGCCCTCTGGTGTTCACTCAGAGAAAAGCATCGTTTTGAGCAGCGTGAAGATGTTCTGTACTATTAACATTCCATACAGACAATAATAACTTTTTATTCGTTTTCATCGACTTTCGTCGTTGTGTTCGTTTGTTTTACTATAATTTTCCATTTTTTATTATGTTTTTACTAAACTATGAAAGATCTTACCAAGAATTGTATGAGCTATTTTTAATGATCTGATTCTCTCTAATGTTTTTGACTTATTTAATGAGTTACTAAAGCATATTTTAGACTTTTGATGTTTTAGAACTATTTTTGACAGATTTACTATATGATACTGTGGTTTACTATTTTTAAATACATGTAAAAATGTAAACATACAAAGGTGCATGTTTAAACCAGGTTTAATAAAGGTCTTTCATAGCCACAGCAGTTAAGAGAGTTAAGACAAAAAAAAAATACTATTTACATCTATCAGGAAAACATGTCACAACCTATAAACATGCTCACAAATTATGTTTCTGTACAAGAAAAAAATATTAATGCATTTTGTGTCATCAAAAATACGGAAAAACAAGAATGCATCACTCAGCTGCCCTGAAATCACCACACATCATCTTTTTCAAATTCGTTTTTTTTTTTTTTTGTTTGTAAACAAAAAGGAGACACTCCCTAAATGAACACCAGCTACATTCTTGAAACCAACTGTAAACCACTGCTTTAAATCAAATAATTTTTCTTAGCAGCATTTACACAGACACGGCTGACCTACAACACCTCCCACACCAGTCTACATACTGTACAGTTGTTGGGTTTAGCTAAAAGGTACACAGGAGCTCCTGGTCAATGCTGCCCCCTACGGTCAGTTTGAGTTGCCGATTTTAATCAAGGATTCCAAAAACTGGAGTTAAAAAATAAATGTTCATTTACTGATGCAAAAAACTGTTGTGTCGTGTGTGTGACTCTATTTATGGTCTACTGCTGGTCACTGCTGGTCTACTGCTGCCTGATGTGTTCACTGTGTGTCACGTAACTAAGTCAAAGGAATGTAAAGAATGAAACACTTAATTTGGGCAGCAGTGCACGTTCAATGGAAATCAATGGGAGTTCAGTTTCATGATGAAAAACAAAAGTCTATTCATCTGTACTAATGTTATTTAGACCCAAATCCAAAGCAAAGGTCTCATCAAACTATCTAAATAAAAGTGTGAATGCACCGCCTTCACACATTCAACTTTTGTTAAATTATTATGCCCATAAAAACAATAAATACATTAATAGTTTAATTTATTTATAATAAGGTTTATATTCTGTATAAATGTTACTGACATTTTAAGCTAAATAAATACAGCTAACTGTGTTATAAATAGTTGTCAAATGCAAAAACTATAGTGAGTTAAATTTCTACATAGTATCTTGATACACTGATTTTCAAATATTTGATAAAAAATTCCATTAAATTAAAATTGTGAAACTTTGTTGTAACAGGGAAATGTCAGTGTTGTTTTAGTGTCACAAATTAAATACAGAAGCAAAATATTTCACTGTGGAGGAAATGTTAGTTCATGAGAAAAAACAATAACAGATTGAAATGTTGGTGAGTGACAAAATACAAATTTGTCCTATAAAATGCAGTTTTTGAACAGTCATATTTATAGCTATTATATTTTTGCAAAATAATACAAATAAAACTAATATTTTTTGCAAAAACTAAAAATTGAATCGAAATTGAATCGAAATTGTCTTTCTTTCGGGTAACAGTCAATGTATTCTGGGCCACGAGGTGCAAATCTGTCTCCATTAAAGTATTAGTCTTTGAAATTACATTATCATTTTTTAGCCACATAAGACTAAAAAAAATCAATGTATTAATTTTATTATTTCTATTATTATTATTTTACCATTAATATTTATAGCAGATAAAGTGTATTTCTGGTTAATATCTACATAGAGTGTATGACAGGAAATCACAATTTGTTGGTCAAAACAAAAACAGCTCAAACCAACAAACTTAATGCTGGCCACATCTAGTATATACATCTGAGCCACATTCAAATGACTCTTTCTGGACCACACCCACTTTCAGAAATTTGGATACATGATCTATAGCTTGTAAACAGTGTTGGCCACATCTGGTATCAAGATCTTTGGCCATATTTAATATCTATAATGTGGTCCACATATCGCTATGTGGGAAATATCTGATATCATAAATGTTGGTTACCAGGCGTCAACTACATTTTGTTTATCAAAGGTGGACTACGTTATGAAAACTGATGTGTAAGAAATGTTAAATGTTTGAATTCTGTATTCCAAATCCTGGTCGAGCTCGGAATTTCAGATTTGAAACTCATCCTGGACCTTAAGTGATTCAATCCCTGGTAAAATCAGGTTACGGTGTCCCACTGCTCAGTCCTTCACTTTTTTGACGCGGGCCGATCAGATTCTCAGTCCTGGCCCACACCGTGCTCCCAGCTGACCCTGGCTGGCTCGTCCTTGGTGGCTGTAATCATGGGCTGGGAGATCTTACGCAGCATTGGCCGGGGTCCTGGGGTAGGAGTAGCCTGGCACATATGGGCCTCCTCTTCTGGGATGCATCCCTCTCTGACGTAGGGCTTTGGAGGAAGTGCCGGCGGCTCGTGGAGATGATAGAGTGGTGGGTGGTGGGAGAAGTAGAGAGGGAGGAAATTCTGACTCTGCTGTTGGTTGAAGTAGAGGTTAAGGGGCTGTGAAATCCCGTCCTGTTGTTGGGTTGAGGAGGGGGCTGGACCCTGCAGCCGGGTTTGATCTCCTGGTGCCGACTGGCTGCGACAAGGGGTCAGTCTGGCTGCTTCAAGGACCACGGGCTCAGAGACACTGTACCTGATGGCCTGGTAAGGAGAGTCCAAGTCTTCTTGGTCTGTGGTCCAGGCCTGGCTGCTGGGGGCAGACTCCAGAGTGTCTGTCCTGCTGGGGGGAGGCTCAGAGGACGAGGCGGGGGTGCAGAAGTTAATGTCACTGAGGGACGAAACTCCAGAACTTGCGCTGCCAGATAATGTAGAGTTACTGCCATCCAGAAGGGACTGTGGACTGATGGGTGAGGCAGATATGGGCAGCAGGGGACACTGGAAGACAGAGACACATAAAGGACCACACCCTATATCAGGGAGTCAAACTCAATTTAACAGTGGGACAAAATAAAAAAATTGGGACTTTTTTCATATGGAAACAAAGGTTTTGCATAAACATTGAATCTGGAACAACCGCAGCTTAATATTATAAACACATGAGAAATTAAATTTGAAATAAAAGACATCAGTAGTATTTGTTTCTTATTATGTCTTAGATTTAGCCCGCAGACCTGAGTTTGACACCTGTGCTCTACATGGTATCCATATAATCAGTCACTATTTGGGTTTCAGAATGTTGGCCAGATCCAAGGTTAAAGATGCTGACCACAGGTAGTTTGAATTCTGATCTTAGCAGGAGGAGAAGCAGGTATAAGTAGGAGTAAAAAGGTGGAACAGGCAAAAGAGTTGAAGCAGAGACGGGAGTCATAATAGGTTGTTACATGTTGTAACGGGTGAGAGACGAAGCAGAAGGAAGAGGAGGAGCAGGAGCACTGGTAGGGTACCTTTCTTAAGGAGCGAGCAGGGAGTGCTGGAGGGAGGTCACTGAGCTGCTGGTGGAAAGCATCAAAGTGCAGCGACAGGTGTTGTCCTACAGGGGGAGACACAGTAGGCGAGTAAGAGGAATCCTTTTAAAGGGACAGTTATGGTTTTTAGTTGTAGTTGTAGTTGGTTCAGCTACAGAGACACACACACACACACAGATTCAGACAACAACGAGGGGCAAAGTCCTACCATGGCTGAGGTTTCTTGGAGGAACAGGAGGTGCCACAGACAGGAATGGAAGAACATCTTTGGTTCCACTGTCCAGACTCCAACTACTGGGGGTAGTGAGGACTGCAGTGGGAGAAGGCAGAGAAGTAAGAAGGAACAGAGAGAAGTGAGAGGAGGAAGAGAGGAGGATGGGGGAGAGAAAAAGAAAAGTTGGGTTATAAAGGACTAATAATAATAATAATAATAATAAGTGTGTGTGTGTGGAGGGGGCGGGGGGGGTTGTGAAGTGGTCACCTTTTTCGGCCACAGACAGATTTGGATCACTGCAGGGTTTACATGGACCAATCACCTGATGGAGGAGAGCTTTCTGAAGGTTCACCATCTGGAGACAAAGGCCAACATGAGATCATGATCCTGAGAAAACCTCACAAACATAAATCAGCAATTTGAACGAAATGCCACGGAAACTTTCTGAACCCCACAGGACATCGTCTTCGTACCTGTCCATTTTCACCAACGTTGCCGTACATGGCACTGCTGGGTCGCTCTCCTTGCAGAGGTGGCAGCAGCATCAGCATCTCCCTGCTGTGTCTGTATCTGTCTGGTAGAGATGGAGAACCTACTGCAGGAGGACAGAAGGACAGTTTTAAACATACCTGATCCAGGTACGTTTTGGACCTAAGATCACGCCAAGACACTTCACAGCTGAAGCTAAAACCCTAAACATTGTGCCTCAGATTAGAGTTAGAAAATGTATTCAATAAACAGCAAGGAAACAGATCAAAAGTTTAAAGTTGGCCAAAAAATAACAGAAAATTTTCCAAGCAAAGTTAAGTTAAGCAAGTGTCAGCTTGAAATGTTCAAAAAAGGAAAAAATAAAATCTAAATAATTTACCCAGGAGAACAGATGAAAGGCAGCAACGTACAAAAGGTAACACACCAGCAGCTGACAGGACGCTGACTTACCCCTGATGGTCGAGTGTATGGGGTTCGTCATCTGAGAGGGCACAGAGTGGGTGGGGCTAATGCTGGACGAGGAGGAGCTCGGCTGAACATGAACAAATCAGAAAAAGCAACAGGTCAACGGACAGCTTTGGGCAGTGAGGGTCAGGTCAGGTTTGGACCAGCACCGACCTGCACTCTGTAGAAGTCGTCTGGACTCTCCAGAACCATGCTGTCAGTCAGGACCAGAAGATTCCCGAGATTCCCAACTTCACTGGAAACGTGACAAGGAAACAGAGAAGAAGAATGAAAACTGTGACGGGACTGAAAGTGGATGAAGAGGCGAGAACAACAGAATCAAAGGAGGGAGGAAGGACAAGAAGTTGATTTGTATGTGTGTGTGCGTAAGTGTGTGCGTTTGTATACAGCAAACCTGTGTCGGTTCAGGAGTCTGTAGCTCTCTGGATTTATCGAACCGTGCGATGCCAAGATTCCTCTGGGAATGTTAGTCTTGTCCAAACCAGGCAGACCCTGGAATGTCACCACATTAAAACACAGCTGTGGATAGATACACACAAACACACTCCGACCAACATCCTGTGTGCATGTGTGTGTGTTCCCTTACGTGACACAGACTGCTCCTCATGATATGGAACTGATCAATCAGCTTCTTGTGCAGGGGTCGCATTTCTGGGTGCACCAACTTCTCATGCACTGCCAAACCCACGGCCAAAATGTGGACCTGAGAAAACATCACAAGTTTTATTTCATTTCTGGAAGATTTCAATCAATCAATCAATCAATCAATCAATCTTACCTGCTCCTGCATCAGGTCTTTGAGCTGTGTGATTTTATCCGTGTCCTCAGGATGACTGCTGATGTACTCTTTGTCAAAGAAGGCCTACAGAAAAAGAAAATAAAATCCTTAATGGACATTTATTTTGTCTATGTTTAAGAACAAAAGCTTAGCTTGTGGTTAACGTTAACTTGAATTGAATCTGTTCCATGTTGGAGTTAGTTATTAAAATCACTTTATTTAACTCATTCTACAACATTTCATCACATGCCATGCTTGCATGCTAAGCTAACTTGTAGCTATGTTGCTACTCATCAAGCGAGGAAGAGGTGAAGCGGATGAACCTCTTGGTATCGAGTGATGCCTCCATTGACGGCCGCGTCGACAACTCCGTTGAGGGTCATACTCAGCAGGTTGATGTTTCCCTGCGGCTGCTTGTGTTGGTACTGACCAATCAGAGTCCTCAGCTCCTGGTTCTTGTTCTCCACCACTGACACTGCGTTTTCCAATGGACTCACCTCCATCTGAGCAGGAGAACAAATCATGAAGCTTTGATGTTAGCTACACGTGACACCTAAAATATATATGAAACGTGACCAAAACCTAGCAAAGATGAACTAACATGGCCGAACTGTAGCTGAGAATATCAGAATGAGCCGCAGCATAAAGATGATGTCACTGATTCAACAATAACTCACCAGTTCTCTCTTTTCTACCTCAAACCAGCGGGAGATTCCAGGCAGGGGGTGAGTAAGTGTCAGCGTGGTTCTCTCAATCCACAGACTCTAAAACACACACACACACACGCACATGCGCGCGCGTCACCATTTCGTTGTGGTGAACTGAGAGACCCCGGGCCTCTGCAGAAATGTGAAACTTCTTGAACTTTCTCGGTGGTTCCTCACCTTGAACTCGTTGTCTCGGTCTCTGGTTCCTTTGTGGAATGGTCGGTCGTGACGGAACCGTCGAACGTTATTAACACGGTAGAAGCTCTTGATACGATCGGGCACGCGGTCCATCTGCAGCACGCTGACACTATCTGGTACCGGTGTCACAGCGTAGATCTGGAGATCTTGGTCAGGCAGCACCAACAGTCAAGGAGGGTTTTTTTTTAAAGCAAAAACAATAAGTAAAAGATAGCCTACAAATAGACGAGGGTTATTTAACTAAGTACAAAGCTAGTTAAGATGACAATGTGTTATTACCTTTGAATAAAACCAACAGAGCTTCAACAGCTCAACGGAAACACAACTAACTAAACTAACAGTTAGCTAAACGCATACTCTAGCTTTAAATTAACTAATGTTGTGAATGTAGCATAAACAAACCAAAAGAGTGGAGCCACTGTTGGTCCCCCTAGTGGACAACCAACTCAGGACAAGGTTTCAGAAAGATACACTGAGCGTCACACTGCAGAATGGCTTCGTCCGGCTGGTTAGGATGCTGCATGGCAATGGCTTGGGGGAATTCTCCCAGCATCCTTTGCTGAAAGGCCTCTAACCTTTCATAGTCGTGGCCCCGACACACAAATTCTTTATTCTGCAACAAATGGAGGATACAGGTTGACCACAGTATTTACCAACCATGAAGTCAGATTAGATAACAGAATGACAAAAAGATATGGTTGGATTGGGTAACAAAAAATGGCTTAAAAACAAGTCAATGAATAAAAGCTAGAAATATAGAATTTTGTGCAGAAAAATAAAATCAGTGTCTGTCAGAAAACTTAAAATTATATTAAAAGAATTTAGAAACAAACAATGAATTAAAAATATTGATTCACTTTCAATAAAACTTTAAGAAAACTCACCCTGAGAAAGAAAGGAAACTTCCTGCCGTAGAAGCCAACTCTGAAAAACTCTGGTTCCAGACGCTGCTGCTCCATGATGTAGTCATAGTAGGCTGCCTCCATTTTCTACACACATGTAAACGCTCTTAACATTGATGTGTGTGTGTGTGTCTTTGTGTGTGTGTCTTTGTGTGTGTGTTGTAGTTGTACCCTTATCCAGCTTAGACTCTGGTAGTCGTACAGAGATTCATACTGAAAGGCCAGCTCTCTGCAGAGAGGAATCCCAAACTCCCAACACTGAGGAAACACAGCAGCAGACGTCACTGTAACTGGAAAATGTCGGAATGTTTGTCAACAAACAACTGGGGACAACAGCTGGACCAGTCAAAGTACCTTTCCTTTGTTAAAGTAGTGGATGACTTTTCGACACATCCCTTCTTTGCGATGCCACTCAGTCTGAGCAGGATAATGGAGGAACTCTTTGAGAGCTCGCTTGTCCCACTGCAGCAGTTCCCAATACAGCAAAAGAGTGAAAGCTGCCTCTGTCCAAAAAAACAAACAAACAAACAAAAAAAAACAACCACATTCTCATCATTTAAAAAAAAAACCCAAAACAAACAGAAACACAAGTTTCACAAAAATAGTTTCAACTTTCTTCCTTTTTTTTCTTCCTATTTTTTTACATTCAACTTTCAGATCAGTTTTATGGTGAGGGCAGAGTTAGGGTAAGGAGATGGATTAGGGTTGTTGTTGTTGTTGTTGTTGTTGTTGTTGTTGTTGTACCAGTGTAGTTCTCAGCCTGTAGATGCATGTCACAGAGTTTGTGGATGTAGCGGATGTACATCTCTTCCTTGTTGATCTCTGACTTGTAGAAGTTCTGAAAAGATAAAAAAAAATAAATAAACATAATATATATATATACGATCGTAAGACGCCCCCTAGTGGAACTCTACTGTAAATGACCAGAACACCCACCAGCAGGTTAACGGTACAACCGATCTTCTTGTTTTCCGTCTCATCTCCTTTCATACAGTCCCTGTGGCCACACATGGACACACAAACAAAAGATAAAACATGACATAAGGTTTTGGTCAGGGATGGCTCGATCCGATACTGGGGATCGGAATCGATCGATAATATTTGCCAAAATTTCAGGATCCATCTGATCCGATACGTGTGTGTTTTGTGTGTTATGTGTGTGTTGTCTGTGTTGTGTGACCTGTAATCCAGCAGTCGCTCCATCAGCCGTGTTACTGAGGTAACAAAGGAAACACCAGTCTCTCTCCATGTCTCCTGTTCAATCTTCTCAAGAAGACTGTGGGGAAAAAGAAAACAAACAGACAGACAACCGATGAAACAAATATCCATTACAACAACCACCAAATCTCAGAAGATACAACTGTAAACAAGACAAGATGTTTAAACGAAGGAGAAAGAAAACTGAACAGATCAAACAGTTTTTAGTGAATTAGTCGGGAAAATGTTGAAACGTTAAAAGACACATTGATTATTTGTATTAAAACTAATAGAATCTAATCATGTTACTTTGACTCAAATGTTCAAGCCTAACATCCAGCACAGCTGTGAACAGGAAGGACGTTAGTGTTGTACCTGGGGTAAGGCCCAAACAGCTGAGTTCTACTCCCGCAGCACGGAATGAAGCACACATGACAGCCATGTTAGAGCAGAGAAAGTGACACTAGTGGCATTAAGGGGTTAAATACTAGAGAGAGGGCAGTTATAGTTGGTTGATAGTTGGTTAGTTTTGCTCACAGTAAACTGAAGAGCTCTCTGTAGTTCTCATCTCCTCTCCCTTCAGAAACCAAACTGTCCAGCTTATCAATCAATTCTGCCTCTACCTGCAGAACACACACACACACACACACACAGCCAAAAGAACCAATGTTTGTAGGCTAAGACAGCTTACAGTTTAGTGTGTAACCAATAGTTAGCCAATAATTCATCGTCATAGCTCAACGTTAGCGACACAGCTTTAAGGTAATCTAGATATTTCTGACACGGCCAAAGCATATCGGTACATGCACTTTTAGTACAGTAGGTGGCGACCATTTACTGGCGTTCTAAAATGTGTAATTCAACCACATGCATGTGAGCGTGCACATGAGCATCTCACTTGTTTGAAGTTTCCGTTCTTCCGCTGTTCCCAGTCCATCATGTCGTGGAAAATAGGAATCATGATGTTCCGAAGCTCCACCTGGGGCACCAGCGTCACTCCCAGGAACGGACCGATCATCCCCGGAATAAAGTGGATTTTATTGTCACCTGAAGACAGACACCAGAAAAAAAACAATCAAAACTGTTTAATTTACCGGGAGCCCCTCCCATCCTCCACAATCAAAACTGTTTACATTTACTGTTTACATTTACCGGGAGCCCCTCCCATCCTCCATCCAGCCGACAGCTGGGATTGGTTGATAATGCACTGATGTCAGCAGTCTCTCTCTCTACCTTCCAGCACAGGCCTAAGGCAATTTATATATTTTTAACGTGTGCATTTATGCTGTAGTGACGGTGCTGAAAGCAGACATTGTCAGGTGATGACACCATGATCTGTTTCCATGGCAACACAGCTGCCATGTCAGTGTCTTAGTTCTGAATCTCACCCAGGTTCTGCCACATGCTGAAGAGCTCGTAGGTCATCATCACCCTCATGTCTCCATACCTGAGCAGACCAAGAAAAGTTTTGGACTGCAACTTTACAACGTCTGACTGAGCGGTTACAGTAACTCCGATCTTTGTCTCTGATTTGACACTGTAAACTGTGTTTTGTTCTTACTTGTCTAGAACCTTCTTTCTCTTGGCAGGACTCAGGTTTTCCATCTGTAAACTGGGCTGGTTGATGAACAGTACGGCCAGACTGAAGTAGGAGTTCCATACCTGTTCACAATAATAACAAAACAATCATCTTCACACAACTGCTGGACGGATGAACATTTTTGGGTAAACTTTATTGTATGTCATTGTGTGTGTCTGTGTGTGTGTGTGTGTGAGAGTGTGTGTTAAGACACACCTTAAAGTCAAATTCGGCCTCAGTGAAGTTTTTGTGAAGGGCTGGAGACAAATACTGAGCTGTGGTCAGTATGATGCTGCAGAGAGTGGACACAGAACATGTTCAAAGGTAAACACACACACGCACACACACACACACGCACACAGGTAGGTAGCTTTCAAAGGAATGTAAAGTCACTAAAAAACAATATCAGTGACGCAGAGCAGGAAAACAGGTGTTAGAGATCGATGTTTATGAGCTTAAAGTTAGAGACAAACAGCTGGTCCAGACTAAACCTGAGTTCTCACCAGAAATACCAGAAGAATCCTCTCAGTTTCCAAACATTTGGAGGTAAATTAAAACATGTCAATATGTTTATGGTTACGTCAACACTAAAAACTAATTAGAACATAGTTAACTCCATCAGAGATACAGCTACAGAATCATTGATTGTTGTCATTTTTCTTCAGTTTTAATTATCATGTGTTTCTCTGTGTTCGACTGTTCTGGTCTTACTTGCTAGTCAAGAGTCTCATCACGTTCCAGTCACGAGGAAAAATGCTGAGCTTCATAAGATTCCTGAATACACAGAAAATTTTCAACAGGAACTCCTGAAATAGAGAGACACAGAGGAGGATGAGGATGAGGAGGAGGAGGAGAAACCACTTCATCATGTGACAAACACGTGGCTCCATCACTTTGTCTGTACCTTCAACTCCTCTTTGCTCTGGAAGTTTTCCATCAGATGTTGGAAGTGAATGTCTGTCATCTGACGGAGGAGGGACAGGAGGCAGGACACATACTCCCCCTGTTGGTCAACAACAGAACAACAGATAACACATTAACCACGTAACATCAGGTGACAGCAACATCTACTGTTAGACGCATTTTTACAGCATGTTCACAGCAGCTCAACTACTGCCCCCTCTGCTGGGGGAGGATTTATATTCAGAAACCCATTTTCTGGAAAAGAAAAATCAAAAACAAATTCAAAACGTTAAAACCACCTATAAACAGGTGCGAAAACAGATCCTGACATTTTGTCATACTCGTCAGAACAACATAACCCTAACCCTAACCCTAACCCCCCCCCCCCCCCCCCCTTCTTTTCTGAAGATGTCGGTATGTCACTCGTCCAGGTGACTAGAGTCTGTCTGTACAACACGTGTGTTCACAGCCAGTGAGAAACAGACTTCCTTTGGTCCATGGATATAAAACCATGTCAACCTGACGACTCACACAGAAATGTGGGATTACAGATTTAACCCTGTGAGTTTTCCCACAGGTCCTGGTGCGGAGGAGGAGTGAGAAGTTTAAACATTAGTTTCCTGTTGAAGAAGCTGTCAATCAAGGAACACTCAAATGTGAACAATGAATACAGCTGTGAGACAAACACACACTTAACAAATGTAGATGATAGAATTAGAACAACAGAAGGAGAACGAGGAGGATAGAGCGTTGGTTAAAGCAGTTCATTTACAGGAGGACAATGTTAGCAACGGAGGACCAATTTAAAGAAGTATTTTCTTATGTTAATCAAAAAAAAAAAAAGACTGCATCAAGGCCCAGGTTTAAAACATGCTGTAGAAAACGATCACATGCTTTGAGGTAATTATTAGGTCATTAAAAATTAATTCATGTTAAATATTTTATTCAGCTAAAAGTCCTCATTTATTTGTTATTTTAAATAAGAAATCATATGACCATAGATGAACCACTGATATAATCAACGAGGACAGAGGAGAGGAAAGATGGAGAACAAGGATGGAGGAGACGGAGTCAGGGCTTTTAGTTAAAGTAGTAGAAGTTTAAAAGTTAGTTACTAACAGTGATCTCGGCGGTGCACTGAGGACAGCGGTGACCTCTTACCGCCTCCTGCGATTGGCTCTTGCTCATGATGGACAGCAGTGTCTGCAGAAGGACATCCAGCAGAGACTCCACCATCATCTCCACCTCCTCCTGCACCAGAATCTCCTACAGCAGGGGAAAAAAAAAAACATAAGGAGGAGGACGTTAGGAGAGAAGAGCCAAAAGAATGAAGTTGCATGTGTGTGTGTGTGTGTGTGTGTGTGTGTGTGTGTGTTACCAGTGAACTGTTCTTAATGATGGAGAAGATGGAGCTGAGGATTCCAGAGCAGATCAACAGCTCCTTCTGTTGTCTCAGATGAAGATGGATGTGATGAAGAACCACAGGCAGAAGAATCCTCCGAGACTCTGAGGAGTCACGCACACATGAACACGACCACACGCACAATGACAAATCTAGTTTACTTTGTTTGTCAATGTTTGGTCTACGGAAAACATATTTATATGTATATGTTTAAATATGCAGTGAAATGAATGAAGACCTGGGAAGGAGAAGAGCCGGCTGTCCACAGTGCGAGAGATGGACTGCAGTTTGACCACGTCCATGGACTGTCCCATGTGGACCGTGGATGGCAAACTTCCCAGAGTTCCACGCACAAATTCTGCTACTTCTTGTACCGAGAACATCTGAAGAAGCTCGTCAAAGATGGCGGGGAAGGAGTTCAGTAGAGCCGCCTGAGGGGGAGGACGGAGAGGACGGAGAGGACGGAGAGGACGGAGAGAGGAAAAGAATGGAATTCATAAAGATTCTACTCCACACATGTAACGACTGTTATTAACATTAACAAATCTCCATGTTACACCGTTGACAACAGTGGACGACTAATCATGAACAAGTGAGTCCAAGAGGTGTCTTCAGTGATAGGAGCACAGTTTTAGGGGTGTGCACGTGAGCAGGTGAGAGCGCACGACAACAGGTGGTGTTCTGTCGGGGCATTCACTACTTACTGAGAGTGCAGATGGACGCAGAGCACCGGAGCTCCACGCCTGAACACAGCCAACACTGGCCCTGCCCCCACTGACAGCTAGGCCAGTAGCAGGGGGCGGAGCTTGCCCCAGGGCGGAGGCTAAGGCTAATTGGGCCGCCGGCCCGACGCACAGGCCAGAGGTTTGATTTGAGCCTGGACAAGAGTGGGGGGTCTGAGGTGAAGAAGAGGGGGCCCAATGGTGGAGAAGAGAATTATGGAAAAAATGTATTCAAAGGAAAAGTCAGGAAGAAGGAGGTGAAGAAACAGTTAGATTAAAAAAGGAAGCTGAGCGTGAACAGGAGAGAAGAGGAAACTAAACCATTTACTGCTGATGTATTAACTGAAGTCACACTGAATGAAAGTATTTTTCAGACAGAAACAGTTCATCCTCTTACTTTATACAAGCGTTAGCTTTAGGCTAACCTTTACCACTTTCTTTCGTCTCAGGGAGCTTTTTTTTTTTTACACATCTTTGAACTAACTCATGTCCAGAGTGGAACTACGCGTATCTCCATATTATTGTGTGTACTTCAGACGTGTGCGCCTGTGCCATATCTTCGTGTTGTCGTGTGTGTCTGTGCGTTCACACCTGTGTGAAGATGAGAGTCTCGGAATTGCGACTGTCCAGACTGAGGACAAAGCGGATGGACTGGAACAGTTCTTGGATGCTGCAGCGGAACTGTTCCTCCTCCAAGCCACAGGTCGCCCGGGAGTAGAGGAGTCGTGATTGGACGATGAATTTAAACAAGTACTCCAGAGCCTATCAGACAGAAGGAGGAGAAAGGAGTTGTGGGGAGGTGTTTGGTGGGTTTCAGTCCTGAGAGAATCAGAGTGGTTGGGATGGACTGAAGGAGAGCAAGGATGCCAAACTGCTTATAGTACCGACGGATGAGTAATTGTTCCCATTGAGCTCTTGTTCCTTTGGCCGTCCACTCATTTGACACGAAACAACAATCAGATTTGCAGTTGTTGCCTTTGTAGAAACAGTAGCAAACTTTCCATTATGTATGGCCTCCTGGATGTGTTCCTGTCTCACCACCTCAGCTGAGCGGTCCATGTACCACCTCAGACAACGGATCAGCTCTCTGAAACACAGCACACTCAAACCTTAGTGTCAAATAAATGACAGCTGCTCAGTGTATGAGCTACACTGGTTTTCAAGTTTTCTGGTTATTTATTCCCTCTGTAGTATTGTTTGATGGTATTTTTTATTCTACTGTCAAAACCTTAAAATCCAAAAAGTAATTCTCAAATCTCACTTGTAGGCCAGTGCACCAGCAAAGTGTTTCTGTATGTACGTGTCCATGACTGGTCGGAAGTGGAAATATTTACTGTCCCTGAGCAGGTTGATGACAAAAACCTGAGAGAGAAGAGGAGGGAGGAAAGAATGAGACATGTTGAATATACAGTATGTATTTGGAGTCAAAGTAATTTTCATAAATTTCAACCTTTTAACGCCACCCTCCCAAAAAACACACCTAAACAACCTAGGACTCATGAGGACCTAATGCTAGGTCCCCAATAATCCAACTGTCCCAAAAACATCCATTTGTTTAATGTTGATGTCCCCACAATCCTAACAAACAAACAAACACACACTTATACATACGAGAGACTGAAACACCAGAGGTCCATATTTGTCCGTGTTGTCGTCCAAAATAGAAAACAGTGTGTCCAAAATGTCTTGTAGGAACTGTAGAAACAGACAAACACAGTTTTCCTGTGGATTCAAAATCTCTTTAAACATTTCTCTTTAAGCACACGGCGGTGAATCCACCACAGGGCCAAGTATTCTGCAGGAGCGCCCTCTGGTGTCTAATGAAACGTCACCTTGACGATCTCCTCCCCACTGACGTGTCTTAGTCGTCCGAGTATGTCCAAGACACGGTCAGGATACGACTTCCACTTAAGAAGGGCGAGAAGGTCAACTGAGAGACAAACAAACAAACAAACACAGTCAGAAGAAAAGCTGCTGCAGGACTTTCTGGTTTCATGGACATCATTCGTATCGTTCACCTTATTATCGTACAACGTTTTTTCCAAAACGTCAATAACTACGACTGCAGTTCAAGGACTATTTCATGCTGCAGCTAACATTTAGTATCGGTTCATTTGTGATACTGAACAAAGGTCTTCTTAGTTGTTACCGTTCTGTGTCAGCTTGGTGGAGGAGAGCTGGGTGGCGATCCAGAAGGATTCCTTAATGCTGCGCTGGAAGACCAGACTGGAGGGAATGCTGGGAGAGCAACTGAAGTCGTCCTTGCAGCAGGGCAGCCCCAGGTAGAGGGCGTGGTTACTGAAGGTGGTGTTCTCATCACACTGAGGCCAAAAGAATCAACACACAAAACAGTCACCAGCCACACACACAGTACTGTAGTAGTCTGCAAACGACCTTTGACCTCCAGCCAAGTTTTCACTCTCATTCTGTTTACGTCCTCTATTCTTTTGTCCTTTTAATTTTTTTTCTTGTTATCACTTCCATCCTCCTTCCATTCTTCCAGATATTCACTCCCACTGTACGTCTGAACGTCACCTTGTAGACGTAGAGTTCGTGACTGTCGTCTGACAGAGTCGTGCCGTCCTCCCTCATCAGAGGAGTGAAGGAGAAACCAAACAGCTTCTTCTCTCCTTTGTCCTTCGCTGCAGAGACAGACACAGGAAAGTTTGGTTTATTCGTTAGAACATTTTGTGCATCTGAAAGCCCTCTTCTGTTAGCTGATTATATTTTATAGGTGCTTTGTTTAAAATAGATCTAATTCTGTAAACCTGAGTCAAAAAGAAAAATAGAATGTGATTAATATTCGTTCAGTGGAATTTAAAAATGCTCCTGATCTGAGACACTTCATGCTCAGGGTCTCACGTGTTATCAGTCAACACTGAAGCTAGCCCAGGCTAATGCTGCTAACACCATCAGCCTTTTTGTTTTTTGGGTGGCATCGTGCACCGCAACATGAATGTTGTGAGGTGCACCGCTGCCACCTAGTGAGTCTCTTTACAATTACTACACCTGAACCTCTGAAAATTATCTTTTTGAACTACTGTTATATATACAATTATGTTTGAAAATGTTTTTAATGTTTCAACCTCATGGTTAGTTTGGTTTTGTACATCTTTTTAAAATATTAATGGAACAGTTTTCTGTTTACATCTGAGTTCCTTCTCTAATCTTCATTCCTGTATTTTAACATACGAGGACTCACTGGAGCAGTGTCTGAACTCGAACCGTAGGTGAGAACCTCTGAAACGGTCAATGGGAATCGGGAGTTTTATGACCTCACACCACCGCGGGCTGTTGTTATGGTAGAGCACGAAGGAACGGTGCTCCGGCACGTTCGGTTCTCCAGAGCCAATGCTGATACAGTCCTGGAGACAGAAACACCAGCACAACCTCATCCACACCAAACTCCACAGAGAAAATCAGTGATTTGAGCTGACAGGGACACAGCAGCTGACTCTACCAGAGTTAACTGTTACTGCCCCGTGAAAAGTCACAAAATAGAAAGGGTTAAAGGGTGAGATGAGAAACATTTCCTACATAAAACCAGACTAACGATGCTTCTGTCCTGACCTCAGAGCACTGTTCTCCCCTCATACTTCAACATAGTACAAGATATTTGCAGTATTCTATACCATTCAGGTTATTCAGGGGAATATTCTGAAACATGAAGTACTCTAAGTGCTTTATACAGAAAACTGCAGTACTCACTGCAGACACAACCAGACCTATATTGTCCCACAAATTATTGATGAGAAACAATATCATTGTCAAAATTATTTTGAGAATTAACCCCTGATGTAATGATAATAATTCATAATGAAAGTACACTGTTTCATATGCATTTTTTTTTACAATTCTTAAATTTCTGTTTCTATACAAGTATAGATGATGGATTTCAGAACTGACGACCAATGGTTTATATTGACCTTATTACTGGATGAAGTAACTGCTGGTAGATGTCACGTCAGCTGACAGAAGCCACACCTTACCTTCAGGATTTCTCCATCTGCGTACAGCACAAAGACAGTGACCTCGATATTCTTCTGCACGCTCTTTCCTCCTCTCTCAAAATCTCCTCGCTCCAGTGTCAAGTACAGGTCGTTACGGACGTCGCCTGAAACCAGAAGAGATCGTTCCCCAAATCTACTTGTTAGTTGTCTATTTCGACAAATATGTTATAAATATTTAGCATTTTAACAGTAAAACTCACCCGGCATGATGACGTCTGGAAAGCCCAGTTTGCGTGTGATGGCCACGTTCCTGTTGAAGATGAGAGGGTTCTCCCTCTGGAGCTGCTCCATGTCTCCTCTGAGGAGCTGCAGAGATATGATCAAACCTGCAGCGTTGAGGAGGTGGAGGAGGAGCAGAAAAAGGAGAAGATCAGGGTGGAGTAGAGGAAGATGTCACGTCAGTGAAAGGGAAGAGACGAAGGATGTTTGATATTATTTTAATGATAAAGTTCACAGGAAACTGCAATCAGATCATTCTCATCTCATCACTGACCATAGTTGGTGCTGGGAGCAGTGTACTTGGTACTGGACTTTCGGATGATGTTCTCATGAATCTGGTACCATTCATTCTCATTGTTGCATCTTAAAAAATAAAGAAGAAAGAAGAGTCAAAGAAGTTTAAAATATTCTGGTGTCTGTACCAGGACTGTTGTAGCTAACGTTAGCTTTGGTGTCTGTACCAGGACTTGGTTCAGATGAGTTAGTGTGACTGACGTCCACTCACGTGTAAACTTTGAGGACAAAGTCTTTCTCCTCTTTCAGTTCAGAGATGGTCTGCAGAACGTCGCTCATGGCTAGCACAGCACAGCCGTACGGTCGTCGGTACTGAATGTGGGGAGGACCTTTCTTACTGTCGTTCAGCAGCATGCGACCTGCAGGAAGAAGGTCACCGCCACATGTATGTTAGCATTTTTTTGTTTACAAATTATTTGTGGAATACAGTAAACCCTTGTTTTTCGCGGGGGTTACGTTCCAAAAAGAACCCGAGAATCCGTGAAGTAGAAATCTTATTTTTTTTACAATTAAATACTCAGAAAAAGAAGAGAAAGAACGAACAAACCATTTTACAGTCTCAACCATTTGTTTCACAAACGAACGGAAGATTCATTAATTCCATAATGCCGACCTACAGCCGCATAGCTTTTACCTTCATTTAGCATGTCCAATAGTTTTACTTTATCACCGATAGACAGCATCTTCCGCTGCCTTTTGGTCCCTACCGCAGGTACTTTTGTCGGTCCAGAGAGTTTTGTCGACATTATGGGGTTTGATAAACTCGAAATTGCAAGAGAATTTGCACGTACGTAATGTCAATTTGGCAAGCTGTTTTACGTACGTGTACATATTAAACCGCAACGTTATTGGCGCACAGGTAGAGAAGAAGCGGAGTGACTTTTTAGCCAATCAGAATGCAGAACACAATGCACGAAGCAAATCCGTGAAGTAGCGAAACCGTGAAAAGTAAACCGCGTTATAGCAAGGGATCACTGTAATACTAAAATCCAAGCTGTAATTCAAGGATTGACAGGACAGAGTTGTGACTTCAGTTTTTGTTACCTGTTCTGATGACGTGTGAGACGATGTACAAATCTCTCTTCATGTCTTTGTTACTCAGATCCTACAGAATCCAAGACAAAAGAAAAACTTATTTTTATTTTGATGCCTGTTTATGTTCTCAGTCCTGTACTCAGAGTTGAAGATTCTGCTGGTTATTAAACTGTTACGATGACACAAGGTGGTGTCAAAAAGTCCTCAAACAAATTTCATTTCTGCAAGTTTGACCAGTTCATCATTATATGTTTGTCCGGTTTTCAGCTGTGTTATTTTTGATTTGATCTGATTTTTATTGAATCCTCAAAAATGAAGCAGTTTCAAATCTGATCACACATCACATTTTTAACCAAACTGGAATGTAAACCTGTTCTGATCTAAAAACCATCTGAGTTTTGTATTTTCATGAGAGAACACCTAAAAGAAGTGGATTCCAGTCCTTGGACCAGACATAGAAGCTGGTGTTGACCTGGTGTCAAAGGTCATCCTGCAGAATTCTACACTGAAGGGATTCTCCAGACCACTGAAGAAGAGAGCAGACTGTAACATGGAGATGGAGGAGAAAACAATTCCTTAGCTGACCAGCAGGGGGCAGAATAACCTTATTTTCATTGTCTTCTTTTTGCATCTACATACACAGACAGTGTGGGCATGTTTGTTTCATATTCAGGACGTTTTTGGGTCCAGGAGTTTTCTAGAACCAAAGTGGGATATAGCTAAGTCACACGTTTCTAAAGCTTTTGATTGGCTCACAGAGAGCACATTGGCTGTGATTGTAATCAGGTGAAGACATTTTGATCAGGGTTCTTAGAACTGATAGTTTAAAAATGTCAAATGAATGTTACCGTGAACAGTGCACAGAGTCGGTCCACCTTCTCTGGATTCTTTGGTCCTCCGTTCTTGTTCAGCCTCACCATGAATTTCTCACTGGAACAGAAAGGCAATCGACACCAAGACAGAGACAGGAGGAAAACGAAAGAAAACACAAACAAAAACAATGATTATGTTGAGGCAACACTTTTCACTCATCTTTCAGTACCAGAAACTGTGGGAACTCTGTGTTTCTGGGTTCGTTTTTTTTGTCCTTGTTCCTGAAGGTTATTGTTGGATCTATATTATTTATTAAATTGTTGTGCTGATAATAAATACAGCTTTTTTAAATCAGCTGCACATGCGATTTGAATTATTCACAAAAAAGAAAAAAAAAGAAACATTGCTTACAATCAACCCCCCAAACACACACACCCACACACACCCACACACACACACACAGTGTTGTTTCAAAGTCAACGGCACTGATACGAACAGAAAACCTCCTGTTTTTACATATTTAAACACACACACACACACACACACACACTACAGTGTTTGTATGCATGAGTTCACACACGGGCATGAGTGCAGCAGGACGTACAGTACGCATGGGTGCACACAGTCACGTGCACATGAGACGCACATGCACTCACACACGTTTGTGTTCTGGATATGAAGTGAATGCTAATGCTGATGCTGATGATGCTCTGTGGTGATGCAGCAGCAGCAGCAGCAGCCGCAACTACAGCAGCAGCAGCAGCAGCCGCAACTACAGCAGCAGCAGCAGCAGCCGCAGACAGAGAAACCAACCATGAAAAATGAAAACAAAACAAATTCAACTTCACCAACATTTGTCATGAGACGAACCAGTGCAACAATCCAGCCATTTTCAGCTGACATATTTTTTTATTCAGGTTATTTTTGGTTTATGTTTCGGTGTTATTGACTAGCATTTCGTTTTATTTCATCTGCTGCTACTTTAGACAGAACATTGGGATTTTACTGCACCAACATAAACCTGGATGAGGCTAACATTATAGTTATTTCTTTATGTTTATGCGCCAACCACTGTCAAATCTCAGTAGGTAGAGCAGCATCTGCTGTGACTCTGGTTAACAAACTCCAGTGTCTTGTTGAAAAAGTCACTGTAGACCTGAAATGATCAGTGTTCATTTCTGTACATAGGTTTTCATCCCTGTCGTCTACACTGACAGTGGCAACACAAGATTTGATTTTCTGCTCTCGTCACTCTGTGGGGCTTTCTTTACACACACACACACACACACACACACACACACACACACACACACACACACACACACACACACACACACACACACACACACACACACACACACCTATGGTGTAACACAACAGCTAACCCTTATTAACTGTCATAATTATTATTGCTGTGCAGCTGAATAATTGATGGTCATTGTTTGATGGTCTGAGTGGTGGTGGGAGGTGAGCTATGGTTGGGTAATGGCTAAAGATCATTTCCAGCCTTGGCCTCTGACAGTAAAGTTATTAATAAACTTAACTTCATTACATTTTGTCCTTTGTATTCACCTGATGGTTTTTCCTTCTCTCAGGTCGAACAGAGAAAAGAAAATGTCTGTGTCTTCTCCAACACTGTTGTAGCTGAAACTCTTCAGATTCACCAGTAGGTGGTGCTGGATCGGTACTCTGCATGGGTCGCTGTTTCTCTGCCTCATAGTGTCGTTCTGAAAATTGAGTCAAAGAGACAGTGGTCAAGAGGAAGTTATTGAAGTTATATTTTTAGACATACATCAGTGACACAAAGTGACCACACGAGGCAGCAGAGGGCCCACTCCCGTGTCTCTGAGTTCAGAATTTAGATTTTCTCTGTAGACTTTGGTGTGATGGATGGATAGATGATTAATGGATGATTGATGGATGGATGGTTGATGGATGGATGATGAACGGATGGATGGATGGATGATGGGTAGATAGATGGATGCTTGGTTTGCAGATGGACCAGTGAATGGATGGGTTGGTTGGATGCAGCGATGGTTGGATGTGTAACACACCTGAGTGATGCTCTGTTGGACACTGTGTCTGCTGGACAGATGCTGTGGACGAGAAAAGGACACAGAACAAATGGAGGTTTTATTATTGTCCCTCCTGACTCTGTTGGAGGAAACTCTGCTCAGTGCAGCAGACTGAATATATATTAAAGCAGACAAAAATAGTTCAGAGTGTTTGTTGTTCCTGCTGTTTTATGAGCTGGTGTTAAATCCTGATGGCGTTCAGTTTGGTACAGAGAAATAAATCTGACTTCTCAGAGCTGACATTTATTATCTCATATTTTAATATTTGTCTCCATTTTGTCTTTTTTCTTCATCCATCTGTAAAAACAAGCCACCAGGAAATGTTTCTGATGTTTGTCATGTAATTCTTTTGCCTTCTCCTCCCCCGCTTCCTCCTCCCCCTCCGCCTCCTCTTCGTCTTTTTAAACTTTCTAACTTCATCTCCGCCTCCTTCATCCCATCTCCAGATCTGTCTCCAGGCAACACAACAAAGCAGGGAATCACCAGGACGACCAGCTCTGGCTATTTAAAGAAGAACTGATGTGAAACAGAATGAGAACCGACACAGGAACCAGGGTTCCTGGAGAAAACAGCAGCAACAGTTTCTCTAGGCTTTGAAATTCTCTGGAACTGTAGAGAAAAGACACACAGTTCTGGTACTGTTGAAACCAGGAACCGCCCTGTGAAGGTGAGCAGAACTTTATGTACCATTTTATAAAGATCTGAGACGCTGATCTGCTCCTCATCCACTGTCTCAAAGTCTTTCCTTGGTACCAAGTCCAGACCCAGGTGTCTGAGAGAGAGGGGGAGAGGGGTGATGGGGAGAGAGGTGAGGGAGGGGGTGAGGGAGGGAGAGAGAAAATGATGTCGGACAGACAGAACAGAAAAGAAACCACAGAGTCAACCATCAGGAACCACTTCAACACTACATTATTCTATTGGCGTCCAAAATGTTTGGTTCAACAGAGCAGCAGTGATACAAACTGACCACATGGGGCAGCAGAGGTCCAGCAGCTGCTGTAACACTGATTACCTTTAGAGACTGATGTAGGAGAGTAGAACAATAGTGTGTGTGTGTGTGTGTGAATGTCCTCACTCGTTGCCCCAGTCCAGTCTGACGGTGATGTGGCGTTTGACGTCTCGGCTCTGGTCCTGGGTCAGGTGACCAGACAGGAGCTGCCTCCTCAGATCGATCAGCTCCATCATCACATGACGAAGTTTGTAGAACAGATCCACTTTGTGTTTCTGTGAAAACCAAAAAGAGTGGTTTACCTGACTTACTCATCTGCAGCCACCAGGACAAAACGGCCTCC